AAAAAAAAAAAAAAAAAGACACTTGAAAATTTCTTCTCTCAGTAATATTAAGGGAGTAATAGGTGCATGGTATTTACCAGTTCTTTACTGCCAGTGTAGGCTCTGATTGATTTCTGTGCCCTGCCATTTGTTAAATGTTTTGAATAATGCCCTCAATAAATGTGTAGAGTACTAGAAATTGGCTGTTTTATAGCTTTTGCCATCCTGCCTCTAATTTACCTATGCTTTTGACTTACTTCAAAATCTTTATGCAATACCCAAATTTGGGATAATTTGAGCATTAATAAGAATAATGACAGTAATGGATTATAATACATTAAGTAAAAAAAAACCCATGAGTCCATAGTGGTACTCCAAAAGCAGAAAGAAAGAAAAAAAGGAAAGCAGAAGGAAAAAGAAAGGAAAGAAGGAAAGAAGAGAAGAGTAGGATAAGGAAAGTTTTTCTTTAGAGAAAAATAGCAGCTAATAAATATAGAAAAGATGATAGAAAATCTCCATTTTAATCAGATTACATATTAATTCAAAGGTAGGCCAGGCATGGTGGCTCTTGCCTGCAATCCTAGGAGGCCGAGGCAGGAGTATCGCTTGAGCCCAGGAGTTCAAGACCAGCCTGGGCAATAGCGAGACCATGTCTCTACAAAAAAATAGAAAAATTAGCCAGGCATAGTGGCAGCCGCCTGTGGTTCCAGCTGCTCAGGAAGCTGAGGCAGAAGGATTACTTAAGCCCAGGAGCTGGAGGCTGCAGTGAGCTATGATTGTGCCACTGCACTCTACACCAGGAAACAGAGCGAGACCTTGTCTCAAAAAGGAAAAAAAAAATTACAAACGTAAGCAATGTACCTTTAAAATGGAGAGATCTGACAGATACTACCTTAACGAACTGATCAAATTTGGAATCACTAATATTGGAACATCTCATTATGTTCACTATGATGCGGTATCATAAGTACACAATATTACCTGTGTAGTATTCTTTTCAAAAGCTTTAAACTGAATCCAATTATGACTTAACAATCAGACAAATCCAGAATATGGACCATACCACAAGACAGCTAACTGGCCTGGACTCTAAAACAGTCAATGCCATAAAAAACAGAAAAGAGAAAAGAACTGTTCTAGATTAAGAGACATAACTACCAAATGTGGTGTATGAACTTTGATTAGATTCTGTATTTTTTTTTTAGCAAAAAAGCTATAAAAGGCATTTCGAGGGCAATTGGTAAAATTTAATGAGGACTATATATTGGGTGTTACTGAATTAAGTTTAATTTTCTTAAGTGTGGTAGTGGTATTGTAAAGATAAAAGAATTTTTGTTTTATAAATGCATGCTAGGTAATAAGGAGTGGAAATGTCATGATATCTGTAAATGTTTTCAAATGCTCTAGCAGAAATAAAAAGAGATAGAGAGGGGACACTCAAGGTGGTAAAAATGTTAACACTTTGTGAATCTAGGTGAAAGGTATATAGTATTTATTGTACTATTTAAGTTTTTGTAAGTTTGAAATTTTTCACAATAGGAAGCTAGGGAGAAAATCTTAAAATATGTCCAAAGCCAACCAATTAGCTTATGCATTGTGTATTCATTTCATTAATTTTTTTTTTCTTCCCAAAGCATCATCATCTGAAAATAATAGTTCTTTCAGCAGTATTTTTGGCTAAGAGGTAATAAATAGTATGTTGCACTAGGGACCAAAATATCTAATCCTTAACTTGTTACAGTGTTTCCAGAGACATGAGTGGTGATGGAATGGTTATTATTTGATGATAATTATTGACTATAACAGAACTTTAGAGCTTAAAGGGATCTTAAAGATTATTAATTATGCAGTTTTACAGATGAGAAAATGGAGTAAAGAGAAGGTAAAGACTTACCTTAGTTCACATAGGCAGATATTAGCAAAGTGGAAACAAATTTTCTCAGCTCCAACCCAATCCAGTGTTTTTTCTACTAAAAAATTACATGCTTGTATTGACTATTAACTCTGGAAATTATTATATAATA